CTCTGAACACCAGTAAGGATCCACACACCTTAGCCATTCTGATTCCTCTCTGTGAAGGATTACATATATATATTACATATATATCACTCTGAACATCAGTAAGGATCCACACACCTTAGCCATTCCAATTCCTCTTTCTGTAAAGGATTACATATATACAAACACATGCATATATGTGTATAAATATGTACATATATACATGTGCTTACTTTTTGCCCACATTGTTATAAATTAGATTTCCTTTCTTCCTTTTTTTGGTGCTGATTTTCAAGAGGCCCTTTGTATTCTAGGCATAGCCTTCTATTGTCTTAAGACGTGGAGAATAGGCTCAGCTCCCGTAGCACAGTGGTTACAGTGCCTGCCACATACACCAAGGGTGGCAGGTTCGAACCCAGCCAAGGCCAGATAAACAACGACAATTGCAACAAAAAATAGCTGGGTGTTGTGGCAGGCACCTATAGTCCCAGCTACTTGGGAGGCTGAGGCAAGAGAATCACGCCCAAGAGTTTGAGGTTGCTGTGAGCTGTGACACCAGGGCACTCTACCCAAGGCAACAGAGTGAGACTCTGTCTCAAAACAAAAACAAAAAAGACATGGAGAATATCTTCTCCTGGTTTATCACTCATATGCTAAAGCCACATCTTCATTTTGGTGTAGTCAAAATCCATCATTCCTCACCTTGTGCATTATGCTTTGGAGGTCGTGAGAAATCCTTTCCTATCACAGAGATATTATCCTACACGCCAATTCCATCAACTTTATATTTTTACTTTTCGTAATTAGATATTTAATCTGTTTGGAGTTTATGTATATGGTAGGGATCCAATTTTATTTTTCTTCTGTTAGAGAAAAGTCAATATTCCCAGGGCTGTTTACTCAATAATCCAGCCATTCTCTAATGATTTGTGATTTCATCTCTGTCGTACACCAAGTTACCACATATATTTGAGTTTATGCTGGACTCTCCAAGCTGTGCCACTTATTTGTTTCTGTACCAATTTCACATTATTTCAGTTAGTATGCCTTTGTTTTTGTTTTTTTTGAAACATATTCTCACTTTGTTGCCCTTGGTAGAGTGCTGTGGCATCACAGGTCACAGCAACCTCAAATTCTTGGACTCAAGCGATTCTCTTGCCTCGGCCTCCCAAGTAGCTGGGACTACAGGTGCCCCCACAATGCCTGCCTAGTTTTAGAGATGAGGCCTCTCTCTGGCTCAGGCTGGTCTCCAACCTGTGCACTCAGGGCAATCCACCCGTCTGGGCCTCCCAGAGTGCTAGGATTACAGCACTGTGAGCCACCGCAGTGCTGTAATCCTAGGCACTAGGATTACAAAGGCAAGGAGTATGCCTTTGTAATCCACTTTAATGTCTGTGTAATGAGACTTACCCTTTGTTTTTTTTCAAAATTGTCTTAGCAGACCATGGCCTTTTACTCTTCCATAAGCATTATAAAATCAAGTTCCTCAAGTTCCAATATAGTCAGGCTGGAATTTTTTTTCAGTTTTGGCTGGGGCTGGGCTTGAACCACCACCCCCGGTATATGGGGCTGCACCCTACTGCTTGAGCCACAGGTGCCGCCCAGGTTGGAATTTTTTTTTTTTTGGTAGAGACAGAGTTTCACTTATAGCCCTCCGTAGAGTGCTGTGATGTCATAGCTCACAGCAACCTCCAACTCCTGGACTTAGGCGATTCTCTTGCCTTAGCCTCCCAAGTAGCTGGGACTACAGGCACCCACCACAATGCCCGGCTATTTTTTTGTTGCAGTTTGGCTGGGGCTGGGTTTGAACCCACCACCCTCAGTATATGGGGCCGGCACTGTACTCACTGAGCCACAGGTGCCACCCCAGGAATTTTTTTTTTTTGAGACAGAGCCTCAAGCTGTCCCCCAGGGTAGAGTGCTGTGGCATCACAGCTCACGGCAACCTCCAACTCCTGGGCTCAAGCCAGTCTCCTGCCTCCGCCTCCCAAGTAGCTGGAACCACAGGTGCCCAGCCACAACGACCAGCTATTTTTTGGTTGCAGCCATCATTGTTGTTTGGTGGCCCAGGCTGGATTCGAATCCACCACCTTACGTATATGTGGCTGGAGCCTTAGCCACTTGAGTCACAGGCACCAAGCCACCAGATTGGAATTTTTTACTGGAATTGCAATGAATACATATCATTCAAAACAAAGCTTAATTATCTCAAAGTTAAAACCTTAATCCATTATTTACATATTCAGGTCTTTTAAAAATGTATAGAGTTTTAGAATTTTCTCTTTAAAGATCTTGTGCATTTTTGTTTGTTTGTTTCTTAGATCTTGCGCATTTTTTAAGGTTAATGTGTAAACACTTGAGTTCTGTACAGTAAAAACATTTCATTTTTATTACATGCTCCAGAAATGTGTTATGACCTCCGAGACTCTGTTAACTTTATATTCTAATGTCAGTAACACCTTATGCAACTCTTGTCTGTTGATTTTCTTGTTTCCTATGTTGATGATCATCTGAAAAAACAGTAATATTCCCTTTTGCTTCCAATCTTTCTATTATTCAATTTTTTTCACCTTACTGCAGAGGCCGAGACTTTCAATTGCTTGGAGAGGTGCCTTTGGACTTTGGAGACAGCTGGAAGATGGCCGAGGGCTGTCTATGAAGGCTTAGGCAGATTTTCTCAATGTTGAATAGTGGTGGAGCCAGAGGGCCTCTGTCTGCTTTTCCACTTTTTTTTTTTTATTTATTTATTGCCCAGGCTAGAGCGCCATGGCATCAGCCTAGCTCACAGCAACCAAGCGATCCTCCTGCCTCAGCCTCCCAAGGAGCTGCCACAAAGCCTTGCTAGTTTTCTCTATTTTTAGTAGAGACGGGGTTTAGCTCTTGCTCAGGCTGGTTTCAAACTCAAGAACTCAAGGGATCCTCCCTCCCAGGCCTCCCAGTGTGTCTGGATTACAGGCGTGAGCCACCTTGCCCAGCCTGCTTTGTGACTTTTTAAAGGATTAGGAGGTTTGCGCTTCCACCCAGTGATTAAAGAAGAGGAATGCGATTACTAGAAATTTGCTGAGAAAGATTCTTGGGATTGCACGTGAAGGCTGGACTTTTAGAGTCACGATGAGGCCGTAAGATGGCACGTCTACAAGTCCGAGTGAAGCATGATGCGGTTCAACCCGGGGCTGTGGAGAGGAGTGTAGCAGAGAACTGGGGGTAGGGAGAACTGCTGACATCCTAGAACAGATCTGATTTGGGACAGTGAGGAGTCAGAGCCAGGACTGATGCCGGCTGGGCGAACCGCAATGCCACTCACGCCGGGGTCTGGATAGAAGAATAGGGAACGCAGAGCAGTGGTCTGGGCTGGGGGGGTAAAGATTCCGGTGTAATGACTGCAAATGGCATTAATGTTCGCTAAACGCTTGGGAAAGAGCCTGGCACACAGTAAAGACACGTGAAGTACCTGGATTATCCGCACTCAGGGGGAACAGGCAAGAGGCAGGCAGAAGCCAAGGGGGCTGAGGCTTGAGCCCTTGGTAATGCCAATTGGGGACGGGCAGAGGAGGTCCAGGGGATAAGTACCAAGGAGGAGAGAGGGGCTCTGCCCAGGACGCAGCGGGAATGTGGGAGTGAAGTGCCCTTCCGAGCTTTAGTTGCTTTTGTCCCCTCAGGGCAGGGCTAGGGCAGAGCTAGAATTTAACTACCACGCGCCCCTACCTCAAACAGCTCCGGGACTCGCGGGCGCTGCAGCGGAGAAGGCGCCCAGCGCCTGCGCGCACTCCGCACCGCCCACTCCGCTTGGTCCCGCCCTCGAGCGGACCCCTTAGAGCCCCGCGCACGGCCGGGCCCACCCACCGCCTCGCCGGCTCCGCCCCTGCAGAGGAGCAGACCCTGCGGGGCTTTGGGGCTGGCCCGCACCCTGGCTCGGGGACCCACCAGAGCGCCCGCGCAGGCCAGCCGGGGAGTAAGCCGCTCGCCCCAGTCTCCCGGGTGGGCGTCAGGACAGAGTGAGGCTGCGCTGCGCGGCCCCCGCCCTCTCAGTCGCCGCCGGGCTGCGCGCGCACTGCCTCCGCGACGCGGGGCAGGGACGGGGCGGGACGGGGGCGGGGCTGCGTCACGTGGGTAAACACTCCGCACGTGGAGCGCAGCCCGAGCCGGGAGGGCGGTGCTACCTCCGGGCTCCCAGACCCGAAGCGGGGAGGGAGCCGGGCCGCGGCTGCGCCCGCGCAGAAGCCTGGGGAGCCTGCGGGTCGTTGGTGGCGGGGCGGAGGACGCCCGGCGGAGCCCAGTTTCTCACTCCCTTACAAGCATAACCGCACTGGCACACCGCGACGTCCGCCGTGCTGGGCCTGCCCCGGGAACCTTGACAAGCCTGGGAAGGGGGCGCCAGCCCGTTCCACAGACGGAGAAAGCGAGCCCGGAACAAATAAGAAACTTGCCAAAGCCACGTGGCTGGAAAGTGGCACAACCAAGCTCGGACCTGGGACAACCGGGTTTGAGCTGAGGCCTACTTTACGGGGGCGCTGGCGGTCCTGCTCCCGCCCCTCGGGGCTGGGCCTGGCCGGGACCTCAGAGAGGCCGGTTTCTCTTTCCGCGCAGTGGGACACCAGGCGCGCGCGTCCGGGGCGCCCGCCACATCGTGGCCGTAGCTCCCCCGGGCGTGGAAAGGACGGAGTTGGCCCGGACTTCTAGCCTCGCGTGGCCGTTCGCAGGACGGACAGCCCCTCCTGTGGGCCCCAGTCTCCTCCCGCAGCAGCCCGGGTCAGCAGCGCCCCTCTAGGGGCGGTGTCTAGAGCTCTGGCAGCCTCCTGCCCTACCCAGGCCGGCCTCCCTCCTCTCCCCTCCTCTTCCTCCTCCGCTTCCTCCTCCGTCCGCGCCGCGTGACTAGGAGGCGCCGCACGCGGAGTCGGCCCCAGCCTGGGGCTGAGCCAAGCTGTCAGCCTGGACTGGCTGAGGCTTGGGAGGGGCCCTTAGGAGGGGAACGGGGGTGCTCAGGATTCAGAGGAAGAGCGAAACAGCTGAGCTGCCGGGCTCCAGGGAGGTAACGAGCACCCAGCCAGGGCCACCCCAGGGCTGGCAATCCCGATTGGTTTGGGGGGTTCGTGTAAGGTGGTGAATGGGCAGTCCCAGGAACCAAGCCCAGCTTCTTCAGTGTTTGTAGCCACGGGCCCTGAAGCCAGACCTGTATGTGAGCTTGCTAGCCTCAGTTTCCCATTCTCTAAAATGGGCCGAGTGATATACCTACTTCAAAGGATTATGGAAAAATGAAATGAGTGAACCCAGGCAAAGACAGATAATGACAGCAGTGCCTGGCCTGGGAACGAGCACTCCCTCTGGGGAAGAGCCCCTGTGGCAGGGACTGAGCACTCTCCTGCTGTCCAAGTCCAGCTCTTCCCTGGGGTTTGTTTCATGGAAGTTACTGTGCAGGCTTCTTCAGACAGCAGCTTGGCCTGATGAATTCACTGACACAAACGGGCACAGTGAGCTGTGTGGTGGCCCAGAAACTGAACCCCCGCTGCGTGCTGCCTCCACTTCACCTACCCTGGCCCTGCCTCAGTGCACCCCATCTAATAATGTCACTTCTCTTGCTCCCTTCCCCACCCCTCCCAGAACCAACAGGCACATCTGTCCCTTCTAGTGCAAGAGGACGCTTTCCCCGATTGGGCTTCTGGGTGGCAGACAGAGGCTTTCTGCTCAGGTCAGGTTGGGGGACCTTTGGGTGCTGATCTAAGAGGAGGATGAAAGGCCAGAGGTAGGGAGGCCTCGCGACACTAGGAAGGAAAATCGGGGGACTTGAGGGTCAGGCTGCCTTGATTGTGAGCAGCACCCAGTGGGCTGCTCCCACCCCTGAGACCAGGTGGCGGGCAGGCTTCCCCGCAGAGGTGTCTGGAACCTTCCCCATATTCCAGGCCTGGCACAAAGGCCAGCGCAGTGGAACTAGGGGCACCAGGGGGGTGAATGACAGGCTGCACAACTGCAGCAGGAAGAATCCTGCCGTTGGAAACAGGATTTCTGCAGCTGTTTCAGAGCACCGCTCATCCCTGCTGTCACCCGTTATTTGGGAGGGTCTTTGTTTCTGTATTACTGCTTTTGCCAGGCTGCCATCCCTTTACCTTTTCTGTGGAGCGGGGCAGTTAGATGGGCTAACCCCAGGGCCTGGAGCTAGGCACACACCTGGCTAACCACAGCACTGCACTTCTCTGACTGTAGTGGTCAGACAAAGGGTGGGCGTGTGACTCAGGCTGGACCAGGGAGAATCTTCCCCAGGACTTTCACTAGGGGTTTGGGTAGGAGGCACTTGCTGGAAGGTGAGCCTGGAGATACAGGCAGATGCCACGTGGGGAACAGAGCAGGGCTGAGCCCTGGGGAGAGCCAGATTCCTGAGCACAGCGTGTAAACACTCGGATCAGCCATGCTGGAGGCCACATGTGCTACTGGGCTATTCTGACTTTAGAAATTCACACGAATCTATAGATTCTTTTTCTTCTGGTAGTGTGAATTGTGTTTCACTTGCGAGCAAATATCGGACCCTCTGGTGGAGCAAAGACTGTAGCCTCATTTCTGGATTGGAGGTGAGGTCTCTAGGTCACACAGCAGGGAACTCCTGCCACCTCTGGCCTCCTGGCCTTTCTGACCAGTGAGTCTGTGGCCACCCAGCCCACAGATGGCCTTGGCTGTGAGCTCTCTGGGCAGGCCTCTGCTCTCTGAGTGTGTCTCATCCGTAACTATAGCCCCAAGGCCTAGATAGACACCCTCATTAAAGACTGGTGGAAATCAGTGGCCGCTTGGGATCTGGGAGGCTCAAATAATCAGGAGACCTGAGAACGTCCTCTCCCACCCTGCCACCAGCCCTTGGCATGCACTGGCTCTTAGCAAGGCTCCTCATCCTCCACTTCGGATGGCCACCTTACCTGAGGCCTTGCTATAACTCTTCACCCCCTTTCCTGGGCCATCCCATGAAACAGAACATGGCCAGTCTGGGCAGCCACGTGAGGGATGAATTTTCACACTAATCTCTCTGGATCACCACACCAGAGGCTCAGGCACCCTGACACTTCCAAGAACACCCTCCACAGCGCCGCGGCTGCTACCCACCAGCACACCAGAAGGGATGAGTGAGAATGAGCAGGAGGAGAGAGGTTGCTGCCGGGACGCAGACCGTGTGCCTCCCAAAATGTGCAGCGGAACATCTGCCCAGAGAAAAAGGGAGGCCCAGAATTGAAAGCTTTGTTATTTTTACTTTTTGATGCGAGGGGCCATCTGTGCAGGTTTGAGCTTGTCTGGAGGAAACCAGGATTTGTAGATGAAATTCAATGCAAGATTACTTTGCAGGCTGTCATGCTGAGACTTTCTCCAGGAGCTGGGCGGCGGTGCTGATATTTTTATAGCAGCAGAGCGTGCCAAGGTCCAGCAGCTGTTCAGGGCGAGTGTGCATGTCAGGTCTTCCAGTAGAATGTCCCCAACCACTCCAGCATTGGTTCAACCAAGGGTGCCAGGAGCCTGGACTGTCAGCTGTGCAGACTGGGCCCCACAGTCTGGGAGGAGGAGGTCTGGAGGGCAGAAAGTCTGGTGGGAGAAGGACGTTGGCAGCACCAGACATGGGGATGGGGGAGGCTCTTCCACCCTCATTGTCACTATTGCTTCTTCCCAAACTACCTCAATAAATTGCAGTTGCCCATCCTTGGGTCATGGCCCCCACTTTCAGCTGTGTGGAAAATCCAGAGCTACCCCGAGTCACCTGGAGGTGACCAAGTTGAGCCCCTTTTAGGATTCTTGCAAACCAGTTCTTCCTGGTGTGGAGGGAAGGTCATCTATGCCCCATCCTGAAAACTCCTTTTGGAGTAATCCAGAAGAGAGTCCTAGATGGGGCCCTCATCGTAACGCCCATCTGATGCTCTCATAGCATCTCTGTACATCGCCTGCAGTGATGTTTGTGTTCAGATAACGACAAAGGTGTCAGTTGCATGCATCTGTCTCTCTCTTTTGTGACAGATGACATTGTATATTGCTGTATGCTTTCATCAGGGCCTCTCTCCTGGGCCAGATGTGCCACAGATTGTCACAGCGCCAGGAGCAGAAGGGGACACTTGGGTTTAGCAGTTAAAAGCTGGGCAACTCCTCCACGCCAGTCCTGACAACTTCTCCTGGGATCTGGGACAGGTGAGTGATGACAGAAGTGGGCAAATGATTTGTGAATCTTTCGATCATTATTTTGTGGCCCCCCTCCCCCCCACACACACCCTTCTCTGACTTACCCCAAATAATGAAATCTAGCAACAGACAAGGATTGTGGGGAGAAGCCTGTCCATAACCTATTTGTTTGTTTCTTCAGAAAGAACACTCAGGCCCTTCGCAGTGGCTCATGCCTGTAATCCCAACACTCTGGGAGGCCAAGGCCGGTGGATTGCGTGAGCTCAGTGATTGGAGACCAGCCTAAGCAAGAGTGAGACCCTGTCTCTAAAAATAGCCTGGTGTTGTGGCTGGTGCCTGTAGTCCCAGCTACTTGGGAGGCTGAGGCAAAAGAATCACTTGAGCCCAAGAGTGGCACTCTATGCAGGGCCACAAAGTGAGACTCTGACAATTAAATTAAATTATAAAATAAAATATCTTAGGGGACAGTGTGATTTGAGGTGCACCCCGAGAGATCCTTACCTCATAAATACTGCCCCAGACACTCGTGTGCACCTGCCCACCTCCCCCACGGCCCTGCCTGTCACTCTACCCCAGGAGGGAACCCAAAACCAATGTCAGAACACCTGTATATGGAACGATGGCAGAGCAGAACATGGGGGCGAGGGGCAGCGGCCGGGGACACAGCAAATAGGCACTGTCACACATAACTGCTGTGCAAAAATGACAGAGAGGCCGTCAGAGCAGGGCGGCCAGGCTGGGCTCTGGCCATGTGCTGGGCTGACTGGCACAAAATTTTCTTAAATTTTTCTCTGGGCTCGTTCAGCGTAGCCATTGTCAGGAGGATAATAGAAATGTAATTAACAAAACCCGCCCAGCCTGCCTCTTGTGCTTCTGTAGTCCCTCCTGGCGTCTGCACCTGTCTCGTCCAGTGCACCAGCAGGCCTTTCAGCTGCCCTGGACACCACTGAAAGGAGCAGCACAGCAGATCACTCATGGGACCTGGGCAGTCATCCTTGTCAGCGGCAACGTGTCCAGAGGCTCCCGGGTTCTCAATCACAGGGCAGAATTAGAGGGAGGGTTTTCCAGTTCAGTGCAAGGAAGGACAAAGTCTGCCCCAATGGCCAAGGCTTCTCCCACTCAGAGTCCCTCTCCAGGGCCACCCAACAGCCAGAGACCTTTCTGGCAGCAGAGCTGGGGTTGTGCCTGCCCCACCTCCGGCCTTGTCATGCCTTAGACTGAGAGTCAAAGGTCACCCCAGGGATCAGCGAGGTGCCTAAGGGACGGGGTGGGGTCTAAAGCATGTGAGGGACCCTTCTCAGCCCCTGGTAGCTTTCAGCCACCTGTGTGCCAGTTTGCCTCCTGCCCTGCCCACTGTTGCCCTCACCCACCCCCACTCACACTGACATCTAGAGAAATGAAACTTCCTTTGCATGGAAGGAAGCAGGGGTGTTCTCTGAAGTGTGGCTGTGAACCTGAAAACACCCCTGCTCTAGTCAAGAGTTTGAAGAGAAACAGGAAACAACCCCAGCCCTGAGAGGCTGGCCGCCAGCCTCCTGAGAGAGCCTGCTGCCACCGCCTCCCTCCAACCAGGACTGCGGCCTGGAGGCTGGCGGGCAGATGAGGAAACCGAGGGCTGTAGGAGGTAAGCGATAGGCTGAAAGCCCCACAGACCTTGGGGCAAAGCCAAAACTTTGGTCTCAATCCGGGAATCTCAAACTCAGATGAGCCAGGCAGGATGAAGAGCGTGTCTTTGAACCCCGAGACATTTTATTCTGAATAGTGAACGTTTTCAAATGTTCTTCTGCACTTTGGGGGAGAATATGCTCTCTCTCTCTCTGCAATTTTTCTTGGAACACTGCACTGCCTCAATCTATACTATTTTCTTGGCTTTCGCAGTCCACAGGTACAAGCGATACTTTTCTGCTTCAAAAACAGCGCACAGACAGGGATGTACACACAGACAGGGATGGAGTCTGAACCCTCCGCGTGGGCTGCACCCGGGAGTGGTGGAGACTCTGGCACATTGCAGCCTGTGTGCCAGGGCTGCCCAGAGCTGCACAACTACTTCTTTCAAGTGTTTTTTTTTTTTTTTTTTTAAATAGTGTCTCACTATGTAACCCAGGCTGACCTCAAATTTCTGGGCTCAAGTGGTCCTCTTGCCTCAGCCTCCTAAGTAGCTGGGACTACAAGTGCACCACACTGCACCTAGCTTCCAAGTTTTAAATGTTGGCTCTGGGGACAGGTGCGGTGGCTCATGCCACCTCAGCAAGGCCAGAGGATCCCTTGAGCTCAGGAGTTTAAGACCAGCCTGAGCAAGAGCAGCACTCTCTGTCTCTACTAAAAACAGAAGATAATGAGTTGGGCGTTGTGGCAGGTGCCTATGGTCCCATCTACTCTGGAGGCTGAGGCAGGAGGATTGCTTGAGCCCAAGAGTTTGAGGTTGCTGTGAGTTAGGCTGACACTTTAGTACTCTAGCCTGGACAGCAGAGTGAGACTCTGCATTAAAAATATATATGTGCACACAATAATGTCGTATATATACACACATAATGTTGTATGATGTTTATATATATGTACACCCACACACACATACGTATACACAAACACATACATAATGTTGGCTCAAGTGTCTTAAAACCTCTTGGCAGCCCAAATACAGCAAAACTCCATGGCTGCCCCTGGCCTGAAGGCCTCCGTAGGCAGCTCTGCATTGGCCCCAACTGATGGGGTGAGTCCGTACAGGCTTGGGGAGGGATGGAGGGCGCAGAACTTCAGGGGTGACGCTCCAGACCAATAACTATCTTACAGAGAGTGAATGTCCCTTGTTTGTCTGACTAGAGAGAACCTATTAGATGTTTAGCAAGGACACAGAAACTCTCCTGTGACTCAGGCTGCAACTGGTGGAATATTAAGCTTGGATCTTTTTTCTTTTCTTTTAGACAGAGTCTCACTATGTCCCCCTGGGTAGAGTGCTCTGGTGTCAAAGCTCACAACAACCTCAAATTCTTGGGCTTAAGCGATGCTCTTGCCTCAGCCTCCCAGGTAGCTGGGACTACAGGTGCCCACAACGCCTGTCTATTTTTTCTATTGCAGTTGTCATTGTTGTTTAGCAGCCCCTGGCCAGGTTCAAACCCACCACCCTTGGTGCACGTGGCTGGTGCCCTAACCGCTGTGCTACAAGTGCCAACCCAAGCTTGAATTTATTTTCTTTTAAAAAATGGACAGTATCCTAGAGATAGTTCATCACTGTCCTGCCCCAAAGCAGAAGAAAGGGGTTTGTCTGTCCAAGAATAGGGATTCAGTAGTATGTGGTACTTTAGCTCAGAAAAGGGGTTGAACCTGGGAAGAGGGCCAATTCATTCCTGCCAACATCTCACTTTTCAACCTTGATTTTGGTCTTTTGGAAGTAGCAGCTAGTGTATATTCTCCTGAGCATGCAGAAATGAGAGAGAGGCTCTATATGTACAAACCATCCATCTATCCATCCGTCTGTTCATGGAGGGAATCTTTAATGAGCACCTACACCATGCCAGGCCCTGCGTTGGTGATCAAATCAATTGGCGGGCAATCACTGCAGAATAAAAACAGAAAACAGAAAGAAAGTGGGGGGGGGGGGTGAGTCTACACATGCCTGTGCATTTTAAATTACTTGGAGATGATACAATTGCATGAAATGGCCCTGTATAAAAACAGCAGATATTCTCATTTATTCCCATAAAAGCGTACACATAGAATGCAATCCCAGAGTAATGTACAGTATTTTAAAACCAAGACTGTTAAAGGTGGTAACTCTGGGGAATTTTCACTTTCTGTGTTGTGTGTGTCTGTAGTATTCTAATTTTTTTTTTCGAGACAGTCTCACTTTGTCGCCCTCAGTAGAGTGCCCTGGCATCACAGCTCACAGGAACCTCAAATCCCTGGGCTCAAGTGATTCTCTTGCCTCAGCCTCCCAAGTAGCTGGGACTACAGGCGCCTGCCCCAACACCTGGCTATTTTTTTGCTGCAGTTGTCATTGTTATTTAGTTGGCCTGGGCCAGGTTTGAACCTGCCACCCTCGGTGCATGTGGCTGGCACCGTAACCATTGTACTACAAGCGCTGAGCCTGTAGTATTCTAATTTATTATAACAGAGAATCTTTACTTTTTTTGTAACAAGAGAAAAAGCAATAAAGTTAAAGAATAGTGATTTGAATGGGAAGAACAGTTAGAGATTCCAAGTGCTGGAGTGGAAGCAGGGTCAGGGATTCTCCCACTCCCTGGCTTGGGTAGAGACCGGGGTCACTTGGGAAAGGAGCTGGCCACGTCTAAGCTGCAAAGGCACTTGTCCTTTGATGACAGTTCCCCCTTTAGGAATGCGCCCTGGAGAGATCCCGATGGGTGGCACATGGCAGGCCAGCACACAAGATGGGAATCCCAGTGCTGTCGTGATGGTGTAAAAAAAAGGGGAATCTTTCTTATGGACCATAAGTGTAAGTGTATATATTGAGGTACATTCACACAAGGGAAAATTCTACCACACTTAAAAATTAGTACCCTCCATGTGTCAACACGGGTATATCTTGAAAATAATGTTGAAAGAAAATACCAAGTGATACCATGTTTGCTATGTATGGTTTGATGCCATTTATGTAAATTTTTTGAACACCCGGAGCAGTGTTTGCTATGAGTCTATTTATTGCTTATGAATCCAAATATAAATGATAAAAATCTGCAAATATGTGCAGGAGTCACACTCACCAGTGTCAGGTGGTTATTTCCTCGGAGTAGGAAGAAAGGATCACGAGATTGGAGAAGGACACCACGGGGTGTTCAACTGTGTCTCTCTCTTAAAAACAAAACAAAAGCAGGGCACTGCGGCTCCCGCCTGTAATCCCTGCAGTCTGGGAGGCTGAGGCAGGTGGATTGTCTGAGCTCAAGAGTTTAAGATCACCAGCCTGAGCAAGAGCAAGACCCCATCTCTAAAAATACCCAGGTGGTTGTGGTGGGTGCCTGTAGTCTCAGCTACTCAGGAGGCTGAGGCAGGAGGATCATCAGAGCACAATTTGAGGTTGCTGTGAGCCATGATGACACCACAGCACTCTATCCAGGGCAATAGAGTGCGACTCTGTCCAAAAAAAAAAAAAAGAGAGATAATGTCACTGTGGCAGACCTGGTGCTGGGTCCACAGGTCTTCATTTGTATGATTCTCTGCACTTCATTTTATTCTTTTTTTATTCTCTGTACTTAACAATTTGCCAGCGGGGTGGGTGTGAGACGATATCATTGGTTTTACTTTGCGTTTCCTTGATGACTG